TCAGAGACCTATTTTAAAAATTACCTTTGATGATCGGGCAGTAAACAGAATATTAAGCTGGTTAGGTCTGTGTAAGATTGTGTGACTATTAGATCATTTTTATTGAACCCATGACCCATGAGTGTGCGCATGTGTGTGTCCGTGTGTCTGTCTGGCGTGCCGCCCGCCAGAGGTCGCCGCGTTATGAATGAAAGCAGCACCCATGGGGGCAGACAGTCGTCGCCCCGTCTCGTCTCGGGGTCTTATGTCAGCAGTTTTTCCACCGGCCCCACTCCGCCGACTGCCGACGACACAGGGCCTCAGTCTGTCGTGCTGAGGTGGCACCGCCCGGCCTTGACACGTGACACAGCTGCTCATTCAGGCACAGTGCTTGTCGTACCGGTCGACCGACTCCGTGACCATAACGTGATGGCCTGACCCGCGATATGGGTGTGTGTGTGTGTGGGCCGAGGGGGGCGGGGGTGTTTGTATCGGTATTGGTATAATAAATAATATAGCTGTACGCTTGTTGTTGTTTTTGTGTGTGCGGATTGATGGGGTTTGCTTCGTTTTCTTCAGCTGCTATGACTTTTTAAAGAACTAGTGGCTACCACGTAGGACTTTGTAGTATTTTTACGTCGTCGGTTTCCCTTTTTAATCGACTCCTTTGCTTTCGCTCCGGGTTTTTTTTTTTTTGTGTGTATGTTTTTGTGTCTTGATTTTGTCCGCACCGAGTGACCGTTATTTTGTCGATGTGTTTCTCTTTTTCGAGCAAGCAAACGAAGGGAAACACACTGGTGTTGAAGAAGTCTGGAGCTTGATACCCCAAGTGTTTGATTTATTGAATTTTTGTCTATGTATAAACAATGTGGTTGCGTCGTTTTCTCGTGGCCTTTGGGAAGAATGGCGTATGTTGCCTTGTGGGCCATAGCATTTGTGTGTAGTCTTGTTTTCTGTTGTGAGTTTGCAGCCTCTCTCGTAGGTGCGTTCTTTGGCTTCTCCTCAAATGACATTTGACTGATGTGTGGGCTGTGGGTTTTTTCTCAATTGTATTGTTGGTAGTTGGAAGGTTGCCAATGGTTTGGGGCTTCTTTTTTTCCTCCATCCATGTTTTTTCATGTCACGTTCCGTCTTTTAGACACATGGATTTTTTTTTTCAGAATCGCGTCGTCATTATAATGTTATTTAATAAATATCATCTGCTATTGTGTGTGTTTGGAGGACGTCATTGGTTGGTTCTACCGCTTTTCTTTTTCTCTTTTGTTTTTGTTTGTCGTTCTTGCTTCTGCCCCGCATTAAATGACTGTCTTTGCATTGATGTGCGGCTCTGTCTAATCCTGGTTCCTAGCAAAATTTAAATGTTGTGGTGCCGTCTCATCGCACACCTCAACTCTTGTTACGTTTTATGTCGTAAATCGCAGTCTGAAACATGTCTGAACTGAACCCGTAACCGTACCAGCACCAACACTACCAACTGCAGCCACCCTACCCGTTTTAGTCGACCGAATACAAAGTTGTGGGAAGGCGACCTTTCGAAAGTTGCCGAGTCAAACCAGACAGTTTACAGTAATACTGTAAACCCTCTCTGGTCTAACGCTGATA